CTTTCAAATGTGTCCTGGAACTCCCAATACCAATGGGGAAGAAACATGTAAGGATGCTTGCACAAGACAAGAAAAAAATGTGTTCAGAGCTCTGTGCCTGGGTAAAAGCAAATTCATAGTTATGGTGAACAACCAGAAAATAATCAAATAATTCACAGATAAAGGACAGAATATATTTTCTGAGCAGGTTTCTGAGATTTTTTTGTTAATAACAGTAACTAAAACTTGGAAATAGTTTGGTGTTTTAATTAACATATGGAAGAAGCATGCTTACAGAAGAAGCATGATTTATTATGTAGCCTACATGCAGAATTAAATGTGTATAGTTGTTCTGGATTTCTGGTCATTTGTGACTGTTTCATGATGGGTTTTTTTTTCTGAACAATTTTTTTGTATGAGAAGCTCCAAATCATTCATTTATTTATTTGACAAATATTTTTTAGAGTCTGAGTGCTATGCATTGCTTGAGGCTCTGTTCATTCTTTCTGAGCCTGTAGCGATACAGTATCATCATGCTCTCAATTTCCACCTAACATAGGAAACATATAAGTAAATGTGTATTCCTATGTCATGTTTTTTTTTTCTCAGAAATGATTTTGTTTGTTCATCAATAGCTTGATTATTTAAAAAGAAAAGCAGAAGTAAGGACATTCTGATGGACTCGCAGGATAGATTATAGTATTCAAATAATATAAAAATTCCCTTGCAGCTTACATGTTTGTAGTCAAAAACTGTGGTAGAGGAGCACGATCCAGCATGGATGTTAACGATGGCAGTGTTTTTTTCATTGTCAATTGTCACTGTCTCCTGAATATTGCCACCATTGTTGTTTGGGCTGATGATGTTATAAACCTAGATTGACCACAAAGACAACATGGTTTTTCTATAAATCACATGCATTTGAAAGAATTCCTCCCAGCAACATAGAGCCTTATTCTTCTATGAATAAGAAATTGAAGCCTTAAAACGTCTCCACTGGGATCTCAGACCAAAAGCACATGTTAAAATAAAAATGTAAAACTCTTTCTCATAGTGGACAATTATAATGGAGAAGCAATCAAATCACAGGAAAGATGAATTAACCATATTTTAAAGCAATGGTTTACATTTTTTAAGGTATTGGATTGGAAAAAAATAATCAATTTCATTGCTTCCATTACTGGTTATTTCTGGGATTCTATCCCAAATAGGTCGTATGGACTCTCTACTGTCCTTCAGATTATCTTATATCTTCCTTTTCCTCTCCCAACATCTGTAAACTAGAAAATCCACAATGAATCAATTCACCTCATATCCATGAGATTGTGTTCCAAAGATGGCCAGCACCACCAGAAATAACACCTGAAAAACAGACCAGTCACTTTCATTCCCAAATAAGGTAACCATTGAAGATAGAGAAGTGAGAGGACACTGGACAGGACAAGCATAAATATCTCATAAAATATAACCTAGAGACACTGATGTGTGGTCATGGATGGTCAACAGTCTAAAGTATAAAACACACACACATTCACTTGATTGACAGGTATTTATTGAGTTTTTGTCACTCAGTTCTCAGCCCTTTTTAACATCAAAACCTTCTACATAGCATATATTCTTATGCCAGGAAGAATTTAGGGGAGGTGAAAAGTGAGAAATGACTGATTTTACTATGGAAATGCCCTGGTGTGGTTCATTCTGGCTCTGGGTTGCAAGAGGTCAATTTGTGTCCTCTAGTATAAAAAAGGGGGCGATAGAGAAGTACCGCCAGTTTGGCTCAGTGGATAGGCCCTTAGACTGAAGAGTGCTGGATTCGTTTCTGGTCAAAGGCATGTATCTCGATTGCAGGCTCAGATCCCAGCTCATGCTTGTGGGAGGCAACCAATCTATGTGTCTCTCTCACATGAATATTTCATTCTCTCTCTCTCCTTCCCTTCCACTCTCTCTAAAAGTCAACGGAAAAATATCCTACTGTGAGGATTAACCAAAAAAAGAAAAAAAGAAGTGGGAGGATAAAATACATTGAATATGGATTCACGGGCAATAGACACAATAGATTTTTAAGCGAAAATATGAAAATAAGATGCTTGGGGACATGGCTAACTTTTGAGGCTGACATCAAGGAAAACCTTCTTATTCTACAATCTATGCCTTAGTGTTACCATCAGAGAAAGGTTAGGCCACAGGCCATGCAACTGACACTGAGGCAGTTCTGACACTTAGCTGTAGTTGTGTAAAAGCCTAATCCAATACTCTGATCCTGGTTTTGTGTTGCCTCCTCTGACACCACAGTGTACCGCACTATCATTGAAAACTGCTGCTGGAGGGCGTCTACTAGAAGGCCAGTGTTTTTAAGAACTGTCAGTGGAATTTTTCTACTGCCCCTTCTATATTGCCAATAACATTTCTCTCCTGATGGCTGGGGGTGGAGTATCTGACAAAGATCTGTATGCAGATATCCCACCTGCCAACCTGCATAGGCACACATCTTCTCAGACTCCTGCATTGAACATCTTCCCCCTAGTGGTCAGTGTGCATCATAGAGACTAGTCATTCTGCCGTTTGGTCAATTTGCATATTAGCCTCTTATTATATAGGATTACCACTTCTTTTTTAGATAGTAAATGAAGTTATCCTAAAATGCTCATATTCCCTTCAAAGCTCATAATAAGAATTATTCTTAAATATTCTCCACATTAAAATTCTCTAGGTATTTCCAAAACTTTTTCTTTGTATTTTCACTAAACATTTCAAAATATAGACAATAAACAAATATTTGACTTTTCAACACTATTCCTAACAAATACATCATTAAACTCAATCAAAGAAGCTTATAAAGTATGCATAGTGCTTATCTAAAAACCCTGAAATCTAAGGCATATTGAATATGAACATTCCCTGCAGGCAGCCACCACGAGAGTATAAAGAAGCATAAACAAATACTCACAAAGGTTTTCATTTTGTCGGAAGGGAAGAAGATGCTGGAGCAAGTGAGGCTGCCTGGAGCAGCTCCTACCCTTTATATTGGTTTCAAGGTGTGGAAATCTCTTTCCAGGCCGATCACTGTGGAAAAAGCTGTGTCATATCTGACACACCCCAGCAAACTCCTTTATCGAGATTGAGACCCAACCACACAACCTGATATCAATGAAGTTCATTAGTCAGTAGTGAAAATTCACCACTTGGTCACTCTGTAAATATTCCCTGCTTATCTGCTCTATGTTGCACTTGAGAGTTCAATTTCCACCCTTTAAAAACATTGCGAGATATTTGTTTTACACAGACATCTTACTGACATAGAAGGGCATATTCTTAATATCACTCCCTCCCCCTTGCTGGTAAAGTCCTCCCTTAAGATTTGAGTTGGGGTCTCCACTCAGTGATTGTTTGACCCTATCCTGCTTCTTGAATTCCTCCATCCAAGGAATGGACATGAAACTAGAGGCAAGAACAATGGCTGGGGGGCCTCTTTTGAGAACAAACAACCTTATGACTTTAATTGTCTTCCCCTTTAGAGTTGGTATCAATTTTCAGAGATTCATGAAGAACAGGGCTCAGAGATTTCTCTGCCCAATTACCAGGGTTAACCAAATTTTTACATTAAGCCTTTGCCAAGACACTGTGAAAACTGTAATTTATATATCTCTAGTTATCTGTGGAGCATTGAGAAATTCTCCGATTAAAAAAAAGAGAGAGAGAGAAAATGAAGTTTAATTTGTGTAATTTTTATAATGCCACATCAGACAAAGCTATCTAGTGTTAGGGTGGGATCATGAACTCAGAAGGTGGGGCAATACAAAAATAAACAACAAAAAAATTGAAAATTTGTTAAATATTGAGAATCACTATATTAAGCAAAGAAACAGCATAAATGATGTCCTTGATCTACAACTACAGTGACTTCCTAACTAATAGGATTTTTTAATACGGCTTTTACAAAAGAGACCTTGGGGCAATTTGGGGCTAATCTATTGATAGTTCACTGGAATTCTGCTACTTTGGCGGTTCAGCTGGGGTGGATGTAAAATGCGCTACTTAAAATTTATTTTATTTTAGAGATAGAGAGGAAGAGAGAGAGAGAAACATGGTCTTGTTGTTACACTTATTTATGCATTCATTGGTTGATTCTTGTATGTACCCTGATGCTCTAAACAACTGAGCTACCTGGCCAGGGTGCTGCTTTAATTTTTTTAGCTTTCTGAGATAGCAGTAGCAAGAAGGATTACAGTTTTGTAGTATATCCACCACTCTTATCCAAGGTTTGGCTCCAAAAGTCCCCCAAAGCAAGCCTCACCTATACTACTAGACATGAGAGCATATAGAAGAAGTATTACCGCCTACCCTTTACTTTATCTTGTCCCCAAGAGTTCTGAGTCTATAGGCTCAATAATGATATAGTTAGCATTTATGAAGCACTTGACATATTCTAGCACTTTCCAAGCACTTTGCATATGTTAATTCATTTGATTTCATAACAGCCCTCTAAGCTACCTTCTGTCCATGTTTTATTTTACATATAGGAAAACTCAGGCGCAGGGAAGTTAAGTAACTCCTCAGCATTATGCTGGTTTCAGGGGCAGGAAGGAATATGAGCCCAATCTGACTTCACAGTCCACACTCCCGAAACTACTAGTACTATATGCCTTTAGTTGCTACGTAAGTAAAATGTATAATATGCTAATTAGGCCATATGACCTTCCGGACAAAGCCAGGGTTGTGAGAGGATCCCTTGTACCAGAGGGAAGTTGGTGCCAGCAGCCAGGGGAAGGAAGGCCTACTCTTGCATGAATTTCATGCATCGGGCCTCTAGTTGACTATATTTCTCTATGCTGCACTTTACATTTCAATGACTATTCTGTAACTACCAAGTTGTGCTTGTTAATCATTACCTTCACATTTTTCATCCATCCCTTTAACCCCTCTCCCAGAAAAGAATGTTTTTTGGCCACAAGATTGGTTTGGAAAAATCAGGCCTACCCACAACTCAATGGTGAAAACTTTATATATATATATATATATATCTTTATTGATTTCAGAGAGTAAGGGAGAGGGAGAAAGAGATAGAAACATCAGTGATGAGAGAGAAGCCAATTGATTGGCTTCCTCGTGCATGGGATTGAGTCACAACCTGGACATGTGACCTGACTGAAAATTGAATTGTGACCTCCAGGTTCATAGGTTGATGCTCAACCACTGAGCCATGCCAGCTGGACAATGGTGAAAACGTTTAAATAGCGGGAATGAGACACTGAGTTTGTAAGAGTGTAAGCTGCCCGCTCCCCAAATTGCTGACATGGAAGGGTCTCATGCTGGCTGTTCCCACACCTTGGATACTCTGACGCTGCAGGTCTGAGAAGGGGCACAGGCTTATGGACTTTTAAAACTCTATGTGATTCTGATTGAAGGAGCTGTTTCAAATCCTGTTCAAACCTCTCGTGAGGAAACTAAGACTCAAACGGGTTAAAAATAGGGGCAGGTATGGGGTGCAGGGGGTCAATAGGAAAAAAAGGACATAAAAATTAAAGAAAAAAAACAAATAAACAAAAACAAGGTTAAAAATAATAAAAGAAATATGGCCAAGGTCATATGCATAGTTAGTGGCAAAGATTAAACTTTTTCTTGCTCTTCTATTGTTCAAAAAATAGAAAATTAATTGGTTTGTTGCCTTTCTATACATAAGTTTAAGCAAATTTGTGTATTTCTGATACATCAGTTACCTTTTCTATTATAAGACCTGAATCTTCTACTTTTGCAATCTCTCTCTCTCTCTTTCTCTATCCCTATTCTCTCCCTTTTCCTTTCTTTCTATCTCACAATTTAATTCTGCAACTCTTTTTTTTTTTTTGCAGGGATTTACATTACATCACGTACCATAATATATCAGACTCAACATGTCTAAAGTAAAGAATGTTGTATTCTTTTTCCCAAAGCTTTTTTTTTTTTTTTGACATTGTTATTTCTGTTGATAATTTCTTTGGCTCATTTTGAAGTTATTCTAAACTCTTCTGTCATTTTTTTTTTAATTTGGGTCTTTCTCTTCAATACATCAGTCCATACTCCATTCTTTGTCATCACCACCACATACTGTCCCTGTCACAATGATTTTAATTAGAATAATTGGCACTAGCTGTTGTAACAAAAAACACATCTCAGCCACTTGACTAAATAAACTTTTATTTCTCACTTACACAAAGTCTAATGTGGCTCTCCTCCAAGTGATGACTTATGGATTCCACCTTCTTCCTTAGGCAGCTTCCCGTCTTCAATCTGTGGCTTCATGGCATCCTGACATCATGGAACTGGCAGATGGCAGTTTAGATAAACAGTATGAGAAGACACATCTGCTTTCTGCTTTTAACTTCTTCAGACTGAAAATGGCCACATCTGTTCATTATCAATTGATAAAGACAGTCACATTGCCATTTCTAGATGTGAGGGAAATAAAGCTTAGCCCTATGCCAAGAAGACAAAGCCTATCTGTGCCAAAAGACCAAAATTGAACTTTCTGCTTCCAGGGTCTCCATTGTTTCATCCTCAATAAAAAGCACCACTTTGCCTGCATTGCTCTTGTGTTCAAAACTTTATAAAATTCTCCATCAACTCTAGGGCACAGTGGTTGACTCTTAGCTTGACTTTTAACTCACTCTAGTGACTTCTTCCAAACTAATCTCCCCAAATGATATGAGAAAATATATCTAAACAAAGGAAAGAATATGTGATCATAGAGTCAGAAAAAGGCTCATGTACTCAATTGCCATAAAAAAGACACTCAAATTATTTAACTATTCTTTTTCTGTCCTTTTCCTCCTTATCCTAGACTCCCCACTTTTTATTATGTTATTTCCTTTCACACTACCTTTATCCATTTTGTTTTTCTTCCTCCTCTCTTTCTTTCTTTCATTTTCCTTCTTCCTTCTATTCTTAGTACATAGCTTCCTACCTTATGAAAAATCATAGAAAGAATATTCTGGAAGCCTGTCTGGTGTTGCTCAGTGGTTGAGCATCATCCCATGAACCAGGAGATCACGGTTCAATTCCATTTCAGGCCACATGTCCAGGTTGTGGGCTCAATCCTCAGGAGGCAGCCAATCAATGATTTTCATTAGAATAATTGGCACGTATCGTTGATCTCTCTCTCTCTCTCTCTCTCTCTCTCTCTCTCTCTCTCTCTCTCTCTCTCTCCCTCTCTCCCTTCATCTCTGAAATCAACAAAATATATTTTTAAAGGAGTATTCTGAAAGAGACAGAAGGATGAACTAGATCCAATGAATCTCTGCTCTCAGAGAGTTTGCTATCATAAAATACAATTTAACCATTAAACTATCGAAATATAGTAAATGTTAAGTATCAGAGGAGAGGCACAAGTTGAATGTTATGATAATCCAAAGTACACATTGTATTAGCCATACCTATTGATGACAAGTAAAAACATTTATATTCTTCATTGTTTTATACATTATATAAATAATCACTTATTTCCTTTGGTGACCCTAAAATTCAAGTATTTTCAATTTACAAAAAGTTTATACAAATCCACAGGAAGCTAATGGACAAATATAATTTTTAATGGGCAAAGAACATGATTAGGGGAAGAAGAGGCTCTAATAAGAAATGGTGAATAGTTGAAGGTCCAGAAACATCCTACCTGGACCTGAATTCCAACTTCTCTAATTTCATGTGGAAGGAAAGCATAGTAAAGTGCCCTCTCAAAGCATCACTGTGAACATTGATGGCTCACATACATAAAATACTTATAACTGCCACAGAATAAGCTCCCAATAAAGTTGTGTAATATTATTATCATTTTATTATAGATAAAACATTTGAACCCCATAAATTATTAGAGAATTGCAAATTCAAAAAACATTATTAAATTACATTTAAATGAAACTAAGATATCTGGAAATTCCCTAATTATTTGCACATTTTTAAAAAATCACTTCTAGTCCTTTCCGGTGGCTCATTTGGTTGGAGCATTGTCTCTTACACCGAAAGGTTGTGGGTTCGACTCATGGTCAGGGCGCATGCCTAGGTTGCGTGTTTGATCCCTAGCTGGGGTGAGTTCTAGGAGGCAATCAGTTGATATTTCTCTCACATTGATGTGTTTGTTTGTGTGTTTCCCACCCATCTCCTCTTCACCCTCCCCTTCTCTCTAAAAATCAATGAAAACATATACTCAGGTGAGAATTAGAGGGGAAAAAAAAGAATCCCAAAAACAAATATTAAATTAAACCCAAAGCAAGCACAATGCAACAAATAACAAAGAGTAAAAATCAATGAAATTGGATAGAGAGGCATTACATCATGATAAAGAGGTCAATTCTCCAGGAGATACAATAATCTTTGATATACAGGCACCTAACAACAGAGTATCAGAAAAACATGAGCAAAACTAACAGAACTGCAATGCGAAATAAAGACCTACTATTCTGGCTGGAGACTTCACTATTCCTGTTCAGTAACTGATAGATCAAATAGGCATAAAATTAATATGAATATAGTTGAACTAAAGAATACCATCAATCAATTGGATCTAACAGACGTAGAATACTTCATTCAGCAACAGCTAAAAATGGAACAAGCTCATGTGGAACATCCTCCAAGCTATGACCACATCATGGGCCATGAAACACATCTTAATAACTTAAAATAATAGAAATAACAGAACATTACTCAGCCCACAATTTAATTTAATTATATATAAATAACAGAAAGATAACTGGAAAATCCCAAAATATTTGGAGACAAAATAATATACTTCCGCAAAACATGTGGATCAAAGAAGTCTCAAAAGAAATGAAAATATACTAGAAAGTTAACTAATTATTTTTTCATAGTAGAATAATGTGTCACTAATTTTTTTAATCCTCACCCGATGATAGTTATAGAGAAAGAGACACAGAGCAAGAGCAAGAGAGAGAGAGATCAATGTGAGAGAGAAACATCGCTTGGTTACCTCCCATATCTGCCTTGACTAGGATGGAACCCAAAAACTTTTGGTGTATGGGACGACACTCCAACCAACTGAGCCATCCAGTAAACATTTTTTCTTGATAAATTGTCAAGCTTTCTACAAATTCCTATTAGCTGTTTCCTGATCAGCTGACATAAAGGATTTGGATAGATTGGCAAACATTTTGAATAGTGGCTAAAAGGAAGAGGGGAGAACATCTTCCTTTCAGAAAAGAAAAGCTGAATCCCACTGATACTATTGCAGATAGGATACTATTTTTTAGTTTAAGTTCTTTTCTTTTTTACCTCCAATTCAATAATAGAGAGAAAATTGTATAACATCTAGATTTGGGGGAAATGGCAAAAATTAGTAGAATCTATTTTGTACCTGTATTTCAGTTGAGCTCATCCTTGATTGAGCCCTAATCATGTGACAGTAACTATGTTAGATACAAGGAATATGAATTCTGTCCCAGAAGACTCATAGCATAATAAATAAATAATATCTCCAGCACAAATCATCTGTATATACCATCAACCTATTTTGAGGTGAATCATAAAATTTTAAACAATAAATGGTGTCTACATTTCTTAAATATATGTATGTGTTTAATATCTCCTTTTATGTGTGCCTTATATTCTGTGAAGAGACCAAATCAAATTTAAAGGTGTGTCAATTACCAAAAAGAAATCAAGTGATTGCTTTTTTAGAGAAACACCCATGGCCAACAACTAAAATATTAATTTACTGGGAGGAGCTCAAGGGTGTTGGACACACCACGAGGCTATGAGCAAGAGAAAAGGGCCTCAGACATACAAGGATACACCTAAGCACAGTAGCCATGGTGAAAGGGAAGTTAAAGTGGCTATTGGTGAAAGTTAAATCCATATATTGAATACTATCTCAAGCTCAGTGTGTAGCAAGTTGTAGTTTCTTGATAAGTGAAATAATTCTGACTCAATTTGTCTCTATCTAATTGTGATTAACTGAGATAGTTCAGAACCATAAAGGTGAATCTGAGAGAGTTACGAATGTTATAAGCTGGTCTCCTCACAGCCACGGCCTCACCCTGTGACTCATCATGCAGGTCTGTGTGCTAAAACTTGATGCTTCCTACACCTGCACCCAGGCCCAACCAGTGGAAGTGGAAATCTATTCAGGGAGGTGGGGAGAGGCAGAAGGTGGGATCACTCATGAACCACAGCTCCAAGCCCCAGTGCATGCGCCATTGTCTAATCAGACTTGACTTACAAAACACAAATTCAAAAATAAAATTATTAAGAATTTCAAGATAAATTTCAAGATGGCTCTGGCAAAGCACCGAACTCAAGCATGGGTCTCTCTTCTGAGCGCGAGTCCTGTGAAGATACTGGCCATGTGTTCATGAAGCTAGCCTGTCTCAGATGTAGATTTCAGGACTCTGGAGTATGAGTACTGGCTGTTTTACATCTCTGACTTTTCTGCAGCACTTGTGCTTAACAGGGCCATCACATTTGCTGGAGCCTGGTGGCTTGCTGCTAATTAAAAAATAAACCTGGAAGCTCAAAATTCCCTGAGGCCCCTCTGAGAATCCAATATCCTTCCCGGAATATTTTGCCCTTTCCAGGAGTGGCTGCCATGATTGAAGAAATGTACCTTAACCTTACCAGACCTGAGGCCGTGAACCTAAATGTCCCCTATACCTGGGCTCCTGAGCGTTAAAGAGAAAAAAATCAACATGATATAGAAAAATGTTAGTTACATGCAAACAAGTGGTTAGAATAAGATGGAACTTGGAGACATTGTAGAAAATAGGTCTAGGCAAAGTACCAAACATTTAAGCATGAGTGCTTTTGTACCATCTTCTCTAAGCTGCTTCACAATGAACACTAAACAAGGAATACGTGCTCTTGTTTCTGAATGAACTGTGAGATAATTATAAAGCAACATATTGCTATTACTTTGTGATTTTTCCTTTCTCATATTTTCTCCACACCCTTTTCAGAATGGAAGTACTCAGCCAGGTTTGAATGTTTAACATTCTGTTTATCTCTACTTTCATATATTTTATATAAATGAAATCATCACTCAGGAGACCTTCTTTTCGCAAGACTTTTCCAGTTTGGTTGCCTTGGGGTGGGGGAGGATCCAAAAGGTTTGGCAAATGCAATTGGGCAGATAGACAAGCAGCAACAGAAAGGCAGCATTGTCTATATTTTGGATGACGCTGGTCCCAGAGGAAATAGAGAAAAGAGAGGGCTCTGCAATACATAGGAAAGAGCTTATTCCACTTGGCTGATATTTGATCATTTCTCTCCTATACAAAAACAACAATGTACTAGGCATGGATTTTCTGGAATTAGAAGCTTTCTAGCAATAGTTATTAAAATGTTCATGTACATGTTCTGATTGCTATTCTTTTGGACATCATTGATACAAGTACATCATTGCCATAAGCCCTGGGAGCTGTAGCCAAAGGATGTAACTGTAATTGGAGTCTTAGCTAAAAGCTAATAAACCAAGATGATTGACTGAAACTAAAGTTTCCCCTGAGATGACAAGATGCGTTCACACCTCACAGTGAACCACCTGACTTGAGACCATCCCAAGGGTCTTCAAACTGATGCAGAGAATGCTCAGGAAAACAACAATAAAGGCAAAGAGACAGACAGAATCTCTGCCTGAACAGGTTTCTATATTGAAGCAAATTAGAGTCCTGAATATCAGAATCAGCACAAACATTAAAGGGAAGATGAGATTACTAAGGGCCTCATAGCTGACTGCAAAGCCAGCCCATTACCATGTCTACACAGGAGAGGGAATCTTGAATAAGGTTATTTAATGATGAAAAAGTGCCCTGCATAGAGATATTCCCTTCCACTCAGAGAACAGTCTGAAAGCACTAAAGCCCTCCAGATCTACAGCATGAGCATATTATACATGGGCTGTATTCCATTTGTTCCACACTAAGGGAGTTCCCACCCAGTTCGACATGACAGGGTGTGGGGAAAGTGAGGCCTTGGGTGTGTATGCTGGGAGATAAACTGACCACAGGGTTCTTGGCATGGCCCCACATCAAGCTCTGTGAGCAGAGCAGGCTCTATTGACTCAGGAGCTGGTTTGCCCCACACTGACCATGGGTCACTGGGGCCACACTATCTCCTAGGATTCCCTTGATGCATCATACTAGTCAATATAGGTCAGCACCCCTCCCACTTGCTCCAAAACTCATAAATTAATATAGTTCATTTTTATTGTCTAGCTTAAGAGTCTCTTTTATGCAATTACACTTTTTAAAAATATATTCTTATTGATTTCAAGATGAAGGGAGTGAGAGAGAGAAAAATCAGTAATGAGAGAGAACCATTGATCAGGTGCCTCCATTGGGACCAGGAATCAAATTGGTGACCTCTTGGTTCCTAAGTCAAGGGGCTCAACTACTGAGCTGCACCCCGCTAGGTTGCAATTACAATTTTTAAAACCAGGCCTATTGAGCATATGTGCATCATATATGTGCCAGCATATTCTAGATTCTATGGAGGTGACAAAAACAAACATGGATATATTCTGCCTTTCTCCTATGGGACAAGAAGCACACAAAACATACTCTCAGTGTGAGTGCAAGCAAGGGACTTGCTCATGCTTCCTTAATACTTTTGGCCTTGGATGACAGACAAGGGTTGAAGTGAGAGCTGACCATCCATCTTACTCCCACTCACTTTCTCACACTCATAAACAAGCATTCATACATGTGACACACAAAGAACAGAAAAAGAGAGTCTTTTGATTTTGGGGCCCACTGAAATAACAGTGTGGTATACAGAAAGAATTTTTTTCTCTTTGACCCATAGAGGGAAAAAGAAAAAGAAAAAAAAAGACTTACTGAACAAAGAAAGCACAATAGAATCTAAGTCTCCTGGCTTCTAGTTTCAATCAGTAGTTCCCCAAATAGATTTTCAAATCCAGAGAGCAACCTCAGAAGTAGCACATGCCCCCCAGGGATATTAATGTGTGTTAGAAAAAATAAATTAATAAAATGGAAAGGAAAAGCAACTGGGGGCTATGGAAACTTAAATTGAGGAGAATCTGGATGAAGTAGCATGACACAGATTTCTCCCCTACAGATTTCTTAGTACATTTGATATGTGAATGTGCATTGTTGATCTCTAACAGAGGGATTATTGGATCCTGCACTCTATCTCTCTATTTGTCATGGACCATTCACAGACTCTTTGTAGAAAATGTCAACCTCAAGTCCTTGGTAAGGTATGACAGGCACAAAGTGCTCTAGGTACTGCGCCCGTGTACTAAAATGGCTACTCATGGCTGAGTGGAAAGGCATCATGCCAAACATTATTTTTTACTTTGCAGCCATGTGACAGTTCCCAAAGCAGATGAACACCTCTTAACAAGTTTGCCTCCCATCCCAGGCTAATTGATCTTTCGCAACTTAAGAGTGAATTTGAAAGAAATTGTGAACACATTTAAAACATAAATAAAATCTTTCTACCCAGGCCAACATTTTGGTAGAGCTATTGGTAGTGAATCAAGCTTTATAACCATGTAACCACATGCTGTGAATACAATCTCTCTATGTAAAAGCCTAATATGCAAATTGCCCCCTTGGGAGTTTGACTGGGAGACTGGGAGTTCAATTGCTCACTATGATGTGCACTGACCACCAGGGGACAGCACGGAACAAAGGAAGTCTCTTATCAGCAGCTGGAAGGTTCCTATCAGCCCTGATAACTGGCCAGGCCTAGGGACCCTACCTGTGCATGAATTTCATGCACTGGGCCTCTAGTGCACACATAGAAAGATAATCACGGACTCAAGAAGGTTTCCAAAGGGGAAATATGTAGATCAATGATTAATGAAATAGTTTTCCTCTTCAACAATTTGATTTACCACCTTAAATTTGTAGGAAAGAGCAGAAAAAAAACAAACCAAAAAAACCTTAAATTCACTTCCTTTGTTTGCTAGTGACAGTTTCTACTTTTTTAAAATTAAATTATTATCTGTGTACATATTTTACCATTGACCCCCCTCCCATACATACCCACCTCCCCAGAGTTTAGTGTCCATTGGTTGTACTTATATGCAAGTATACAAGTCTCTTATCTCCCCCAGATCTCCTTACCTTCCCAGCTGTAATTTGACAGTCTGCTTGTTGCTTTACTATCTCTATATCTATCTTTTGGTTCATCAGTTTATAATGTTCTTTATTATCCATAAATGAGTGAGGTCATGTCGTGTTTCTCTTTCATTGATTGGCTTATTTCACTCAGCATGATGTTGCTGCAAATGATGAGAATTCCTTCTTTTTTTATTGCAGAAAAGGGAGTAGGTTTGGTGGGGTTAGCTAATAGAACATGTTTAGCCTAAGCAAAACCATTACAATGGGTTCAGGCAAAGGTAAGGAGGTGAAGTCATTCTCACATTCTTACAGGAATGAAGTCATTCGCACATTCACACATTCTCCCTGGAAGGCCCAATGTGTCCACAGTTTCTTATCTGTGATCTTGTTTGATTTTAGGGATTATTCCTTTTCTGAATCTGCAATATCAATATATAAAATACCCACACCCGCACTTCATAAGTTATCATAAATCATATTGAGTTTGTTACAATATCTTCAACTTCAACAAATGATGAGTCAGATGAACTCCTTGTCAAAGTGCCTTACTAACCATGTAGATATTCCAACGGCTTCTTACTACACTGGATTATGGTGTGGATGTGGGAAATGAAAGAAGATAAGTCTTTGACTCCACCTGGTCACACCTACTTTGAGTAAAGCCAGTCAAGTACAAATATGAGAGAACTTGTCTGATTCCATGCCTGCCTATCTTCTCCACTCCATCGCTCTGGTGAAGTCAAGATGAAGTTCACAGTGAGTAGAATTTTTCTTTTTAATTTATTACATTATAATAGGAGACTGTCAACATTTTGAGCTAAGAGCATCTGCTTCTTATAACAATCCTATATAATAAAAGAGTAATATGTAAATTGACTCTAATGGCAGAATGACTGGGAACAACAGGTCACTATGACATGCACTGACCACCAGGGGCAGAAGCTCAATGCAGGAGCTACTACCTGGTGGTCCGTACACTCCCATGGGGGACTTCTGCTCAGCCACAAGCCAGGCTGACAGCTGTCAGTGTAGTAGTGGTGGTGGCGAGAATCTCTCCCACCTCCTCGGCAGCACTATGGATGTCTGACCATGGCTTAGGCCCATGGAGAGGGTCTAAGCTAGCAGGTGGACATCCCCTGAGGGGTTCTGGACTACGAGAGGGTGCAGGCCGGGCTGAGGAACACCCCCACTTCCACGAGGGCACAGTGTTTTGTGCATCAGGCCTCTAGTATCACCATACTGGAAATTTTTGTTTTAAAAATATTTCTCTTTTCTTTTCATAGAATTGTGATGTTTATAAGCATCTCTATAAAGAAGGATAGATATACTGAGATTAAACAGCTGTCTGAGAATCTTATACCATGCTATCTTTAATAAAATTACTTTCCAGATCTCCTGATTTAAGTCTGGGCAAAGAGCATTTCCATTGAAAATGTCTGATCTTTCCCCTCTTTCTTAACTTCCTCTTTTACCAAAACTCCGGAGTATGTTCAGGCAATATAAAAGGCATCTTATCAAAACAAATGAGGGAGAGACTTATTGGCATATTTTCTGCTGTCAAAAGGATCTCCAAGTCAGAACGGCTTGCCCAGGTCCCTGTCTAGAGTCATTTATTCATAAAAGTTCCTGATGCATGAACTAATACAGCATTTCACCTGTGGTTCCAGATAAAGGGCTAAGAGTAGAGCAGGTGGACCACAAAATTCTGCCAAAAACAACTGGTGGTTTCATGTGTGTTTTATAACATCATGTATGAAGCTAGAATCAGATGAGTGCTTTCCTGTTTCAACATACTAAATACTAAAATTTATTACAGCAGGCTCTGCTTCATAATGGAGTATTAAACCATTATCTAGAAATAAGTCCCAGAAACCACAAAGTTTGTTTGTTTTTTAAAGAAGTCATATCTGGATCTTTCCTAGTTCTGCAATGAACAGGGGATAGAACCTTGGCCAATACAAACTTGGTCAAGTCACTTAAGTAACCTCTGAAGCTCAATTTCCTGATCTGTGAAAAGACGGCATTGTACTAGTCCTCTCTAAAATTTCTTTCATCTCTTGACACTTTTTTTTTTGGAGGTTAATTTTTACTTCTTCCTAAGCTATCAGGAGAAAAATTAAGCAAATAAAATATTACCAGTGCAGTTCTCAAATCATTTTGTCCCAGATAAAGGAAATGAGAATAGATACTCAGAATCAGGAGCCCTGCATAAAACTCTGTGTTTTGACAAGCAATATCATGGACCCAGTGACAAGTGACTAACCCAGGTACCCTGGGACAGTTACTAACTTCCCTTATGCTAACCACACTTGATAGCTGAGGCATTCCATCCTTTGCCTCTCAGCACCAGTATTCAACCTGTTTACTAATCTATTGCTTTTAAAAATTAAAAAAACTACTTCTGCTATTAGGAGATCTAGGAAGGCAGGAAGGAAGGCATTCATATCAAATAGGGAAAGTAACTTAAATCATTTTCAGATGTGATTCTCAGAACTTAAAACCATTTTCAGATCATACTGTTAATTTTCAATTTTATTTTTAATATATCAACACTTTACTGTTTTTTTCACAAGACCTACTTTAAAAATTGTAAACCTATATATCACAATATAGTTATTGTAAGTAGTTAACCTACAACTCTACATTATCATTAAAATTTTCTATGGTTAAAAATATACAAGGGCAGCCAAAATCGGTTTGGCTCAGTGGATAGAGTGTCGGCCTGTGGACTGAAGGGTCCTGGGTTCTATTCTGGTCAAGGGCATGTATCTAGGCTGCAGGCACATCCCCAGTAGGAGGTGTGCAGGAGGCAGCTGATCAATGTTTCTCTCTCATTGATGTTTCTAACTCTCTCTTCCTCTCTGTAAAAATCAATAAAATATATAATATATGATATTTGATATATGATATATGACATATGACATATGATATATGATATATGATATATGATATATGATATAATATCGATATATATATATATATATATATATATATATATATATATATGTAAAGAACAGAGAGCATACTCAACAGGTAGTAAAATTAATAAATCTTTTCTATGATTTTGTGTAGAGAAAGAA